AAATATTACAATGCACACAACATTATGGGTGACACATACCAGAGTTCAAAAGAGGACAAACTGTTGGTGCACATCTTGCTGGTGCATCTGTGACCAAGACAGCAAGTCTTTGTGATGGATCAAGAGCCACAGTATCCAGGGTAATGTCAGCATACCACCAAGAAGGACCAACCACATCCAACAGGATTAACTGTGGACYCAAGAGGAAGCTGTRTGAAKYGGATYTTCGAGTGCTAACCCGGATTGTATCCAAAAAAACARAAAACCACGGCTGCTCATACYGTAACAAATCAGGCTGAGAAACTTACACAAAACACCTTCATAAAKRTTGGTTGGCYGTGATTATTCTACAGACTAATTCAACTATACTCTGATAAAATGTAAAAATAATAATAAAGGTTTGTCCCCCATTTGTGGCGCAATGAATCGTGCCCGTAGTATTTGCCTTTACTGRCTATGCCATGAGCKGGTCCTGGGTCTGATGGATAATTTGTAATGCATATGATCGACAGCATCAGTAAAGTACATGTGTAAAAAACTCTTGTGGGTTGGTTTCGCTAACGGTTACGTTTTCAGATCATGGCAGGTTGCTGAGGAAGTGTCTTCAATTCAAGAACTGGTACAAAAACAAGTCAGTAGCATCCACCTTTATTCAGAATTATGTTCTWTTAAAGGACAAACAGGCAAGTCTGTAAATATGCAAGCTAAACATACATACATGGAAATACATAAATATTAAAACTTTAGAAGCAAAGATGTTGATTGAGTGAAAGTTCCTTATAGGTCTATATGGTAGATAGCACACATTTAAATTCAACAAAGAAWTTTTAAAAAGACAACAATAATTTAAATGACTTCATTGCCCTTAGGATATGATACACTTCAACAACTCAAACTCTGAGTAAACAAGTAGTTTAGAACAAAAATATGTAATTTAGTTGTCCCCCAAAGTTGCACATTTGTTCCTATGACAGGGACAAAAATAAAGTTAGGCAATGATTAAGGGATTTGCCAGTTAAATAAAATATATTATTACAAATAACCAAAATTTCCTTGTGTGTGACATTCTTCTTAAAGTGTCAGACTCCTCAGAACAATATATATAAATATACATACATACAAAGCAGAAACATTTCTTCAACATCCTTATTAAAACAAATAAGTGTCCGCTTCCAGGATTCAGCCTTTTAAACATACACGTCAAACTAATCAGAATAAAGTTTTTTTTATATGTAATCACACAGATCATAAACACATTTAGCTTGTGGGTCAAAGCGTTTAAGCAGTTGTATTTCTACATATCGTAAAGCTTCTGTAATATTATATGCATATGATACTTTTATTAGATTAGCTCACTCCTTTGTACAAAATCCCATCTTACAGCCCTCACAGTGCTGCGGCTCATGAGGACTGTGGACATCAAGGTGACCAGGACGCCTGTTTGTTTCACCACGGTGTTCCTTGTAGCACTTAATTCTTATTTTCTCCATCAGGTTCTCCATGAGGTTATTGATCGCGTCTGCGTCCACGTTTGGCTTCTCCATCGGCGCGTTGAGGCACCTCTTACAGTTKTGACGTAAGGGCCTGACCTTTACAGTGCCCTGCCCATTGTTCAACTGCATGAGGAAGATCACCATCACCCGGTTGGAAGGCCAGCTTCTCCCACATGTGGTGCATTTGAACCTTAAAAAAAAAAAAACATGACAGAAGTTTGAGGCTTTCATATCATTCATGTAGGATTACTAGAAACAAGGCAACTGAGGACATCAAGAGGCTATGATGTGAACTGCAAGAAGTGAAAAAAGCAACATAGCTCAGCTGAATTARAACACTCAAAGGTTCCATAACACCAGAAAGACAACAAAGGACACAAAAAAACATCATGAGAACAAACAGGTTTTCTAAAATTACATACTCTAATACTTTTATTTTAGGACAAATAGCAAGGTCCAGTGATTTAATTATAATCTTTTACACACGAGTAATTTGAGACCACGATAAAGGTTATTTTTTAGCAAATCTGTTGCAGTTTTTAAAAACGAAGAAAACTGTAATGCGTAAAGACTTTATTTATACAAGTAATTTCTAATAAAGTACTTACGTTTAAATGTTTTTTAATTGTGAAAATTACCTTGTTTGTTTTCTGCCAATCAAGTGAAGATGATGTTTATTTCTCCACATACAACAGATTCTCATATTTTGACATTCAAGTATCAGATTCAGTTATATTCAGAGTTAACACATTTATTTTCTTAGATAAAGCAGATGGCATAATTTCTTTTTTTTTGCCATCTCAAAAAGATTAAATTAAAAGTGCAACTGTAATTTCTTTTAATCTGACTAAAACATGTAGTCAAAAACAAAACAGCCAACTTTAGTAGTACCAACCATGCAATTGTTCTCCTGATGTAATTTTTCCATCCTAAGTTCTGTTGTTTAGGGTCAATGTTTTCATCAAACTCCAAACGCCAGGTGTCTGGTCTCTGAAGAGTTTCTATGTTATRCAGAAAAATGCGTGTCCACATCTGTTGTTCCATCGTTTGTAACGTGGAAGCTGCAGGCTGAAGCTGCTGCTTGATGAAGAAGAAAAACAGCTCTTATCTGCTCAGCTGACGTCCAGCCTGTGATGTTTACTCATCATCCACCTCAACAAGAAAACTCTGATCATGACGCACAGAAAAACGAAACTTAAGGTCACAACCTCTTAAAGTTTCAAGCGTACCAGAGATTGAAAAATGAAACTTAAGTAAAAAAATGAAACTGAAAGARGTTTAATTTGCAGGCCTATTGCATGAAACACTGCCACCTGCTGGACATAAACTAAACGAAACGAAACGAAACGAAACTAAAATAAAATAAATATTTGACACATAGTGCATATCATATCACATGTAAAAAAATATATGTCTAAAAATAAGGCCAGTTTTAGCACAAGATTTCAAGCATGTATGGTTTGAAGCGTGTCGGTGCTTTTATTTTGAAACAGGAAATGAGTATTCGACGTCACTGATAAAGGTTATCAAYACAAATAACTCTAAAAGGAAAGATATAATCAATCAAATAAATTGTATTCTTTCTAAACTTGACCTAAGGAAAATATCAGTACGTTTTATTTGGGTTCCAGCTCATGTAGGAGTGGAGGGCAATGAAGAGGCAGACATCCTCGCTGAGCTTTGAAATGTAAAAATATTGATTACCAAATCCCATTAAGTAAAGAAGAATGCAAAATGATAATAAGTAAATATATTAAAAACATCTGGCAGGAAAATTGGGATATAAATGATAAAGGTAGACACCTTTATAATATTCAAACATCTAGAAAAACAGACTGGAAACAACTATTACGCGCATCAGAATAGGTCATACAGGCCTTAATTATTCTCTTAAAATTATTGGTAAACATTTAACAAAGCTTTGTGATAAGTGTAAATCACCAGAAACAGTTCAGCATGTATTTATGGAATGTAATGCTTATGATTCAGAAAGGAAGCAGTTTAAAAAAGAAATAAATAACATGCATATTGAATTTGCAATTGAAAATTTTTTGGAAGTAATGTCAGTAAAATAAAAGGTACAATTCTATCATTTTTGAAGAAAAAAATTGTTATTAGGAAGAATATAGGGTTTTATTTATTTATTTTTTCCTGATTCTTGCCTGTCCGCACTCCAGTCCAGTTGGTGGCGGTAATGCACCATCACAGTTGGCTTGCCAACCGCCAATAAACTCAAGAAGAAGAAGAGTATTCGACGTCTCTATGGCAACAGATACAAGCGTGTAGCGAATCGATTGCCAACACCTCCTTTTTATGTTTGTTTGTGACCACACTGCACCGTCACACAGCATGGGGGGGTCGGATGCGTACCGTATACGACCAAACCATCAGGACAAGTGAGTTATGTTAAGCGATTAGAGTGTTTTAGTTAGTTAGCTTGTAAAAACAATGCTTAGCTTCGCTAGCGCCCATGCTAACGTTAGCTCATGCCAAAAACACTGGACCGTACCACTGACTGTCCCGTGTAACCATGTCAGACTTTATTTGTTAAACTTAAAATATTTACATTTGTTCACCTTGATACATTTCTATAAGTGTTATGTTTGCTTGATATTTAACAGCTTCCTGGCTAGTAATTTTAGCTGCTAAAAGTTAACTAGCTAGTGTTTGTTTGTGTGTGAGCTGCAGGTTAAGTATTTTATAAGCATTTATAATGTGTATATACACAATTTAAAATGTTTATTATGAACAGATGACCTTTTCCAGAAGATTGTTGGTGAATTGTGACCTCGTTTGTTGCTCTTTCTGATCACTGTTAAATATACTTCAGGTTCAAACCAGCCATTGTGAAAGAATGCATTGGAGAAATTGTGAGGGAGCATCTGTCTGGTGTGCAGTACGAGCAGGAGAAAGTCAAAGAGATGTCTAATTCACTAGCAGACCACATTAAGGACAAAGTGAAGAGTAAGTGTTACGATAATCCCTTTCTTCTGGTATATTCTGAGCGTACTGTAAGAAATGTAGTAGTAATATTTCAGAAGGTTTTTCATCTCATTAAGACAGCTACAAGAACGATGCTTAAATGTGATGCATCAAATTAGCATAACGAAAATAATCAAAGCTCTGCCACTTTTGATTTATGTGGCTGTGAGGACAAAAAACAGCATCATATCAATCAGTTTAATAACGGATTTAAAATATGTACAATTTCTGACTTTTAACTCATCTTTGCAATAAAACACACCCCACTAACAACATAAAAACTTTGCTAACATAAAATTCTACTGTTTATGAGTCAAAATAAATGAATTAAGCTTTTTATACACACTCAATAATCTGCAGTCACCTTTTTTTTTGTTACAGCTTTGGGATTTGACCGGTATAAGTTTGTTGTGCAGGTGGTCATTGGAGAACAACGGGGTCAAGGAGTGAAGTAAGTCATTGTTTAAAACAAGTCAAACAAAAGCAACTGTTAGGCTTGGGAAAGTAAGTCCAAAATGTCTTGAACTACTGAAAGTACAACATGGAGGCAATCACATATGACAAGTCTGCCATTGTGCCCTCGGCAAAGAGCTCCTGTTAAAGAAAATTACAGCATGTGTTTGTCAGCCCAGTTTTTACCAGAATAAGATTCTCTACAGAATTTGCAATTTTTCAAAGTTTTATTTGCTTTAAAGCAGTTTTTTTTAACCATGTCTACACAATAATTTCACAAACTTAGTGACTGACAGACATCACAAAATGTTCCCATAAAAATTTATTTCAGGGCAACTTGACATAAATCATATATATATATTTGATCTTTTTCTGAACATAACATAACAAAACATAGCATAACATAATATACAGTAAACTAAAAAAATACCATCTTGTCCGTGCATCCTCCCAAATAATAGATAAAATAAATCAAAAATCCTAAAATCTGGAAAAAACATYCAAAAATAGATATGCCTTAGTAGAGCATTCATATTAGCACAAATACATGAGATATATTTTGTTTATATTGCATAATCCCTTATTTCACCTCAAGTTAGTTTTTTAATTATTTGGTTAAATTATTGTTGTAGGGGGGGAAAGCTGCTCTTAAAACATGTTTGTTTACTAAGAATAAATTAGATTTATTTTAGCATTAGTCTGGCATTGATACACCATCATCATCTTATCTTTCACATTTACATGATATTATTTATTTGGATTTTGAGTTTATTTTAAATTTTATTGCTAATGTCAAATATGTTGTCCTGATTTTTGTAATATAAGGTTGTAAAACATTAAAGAACTGAAAACGTGTTTGTATGACGTGTTTCCAGGATATCCTCTAGGTGTTTGTGGGACGCTGACACTGACAGCTATGCAGAAGATGTTTTTATGAATGTAAGTGCTCCGTCAGATATGAAGAGAATACAGCAGTTTTTTATTAACACTGTCTTTCAAATCACATTGTTGTCACTCTGTAGGACAGCTTATTCTGTTTGGTGGCAGTTTTTGGAAGCTATTACTACTGAGGACTTGGAGCGTGGACGACAGAAAGCACTTTGATGTGAAGATARGAGAGGAGAGTTTGTGCGATGGCACGCTGTCAGCATTTCATGTTCTGAAGTGCTGATGTGCGTTACTGCGTGTATCAGAGACATCATCCTCTTCTCTCCTGAACGCCACCTGTGCTGATGTAAGGATTTTTTAAATGAAGGACCTCACCATAATTTATATCTTGACACGATGCTTATTAACGACTGATCCCCCTGTACGACTGATRCTGTGTGATTGCTTTACTTTAAAACATTTCTCTCAACACCCAGTGTAGGAAACTTGGTGTTTAAAAGCAGCTGATTTTCATCAAAGAATATCAACTTTTTTTAATTGGAATTTTTATTATTGTAATGCAATTAAAGTAACTTTYCTAAAGTAAGTTTAAGGTAATAAAACTTTTTTTTATGATTCATTTCATGAAGCTGCTATATTAGTATCTTATAAACACTGAGTTCAGCTGCTAAATTAGCTGCAAAAGAATTAGAGGTATTTGAGTATAATTCATGACAGTCGACATCACAGCTGTATTATTAGTGTTCYACTTGGTGCAGAAGTTACAGCAGAGGTCAGTGTTTGTCTGTAATGGTCAACACCTCTCAAGTTAAACTGTCCTGTTTAACAATTAACAGCTTTACATAATGTAGTGAAAAAGGTCTTTAATTACGTGTTAAATTTGAACAAAAGGTTGTCTTTATCACATTGTTTTTTGTATTTAACATTTTTTAAACTTAATAAACTACAAAAATATTAATAAGTCTTTGTATTTTGTATTAAATAAATAGTAACCAAAATATAAAATGCTTAAAAAAACAGTGTTTCCTTGGAAGTAAGTAATCAGGATAAGAATACACATGTGTCATGTAAACGCCACATTTGGAAATTTTTAATCATTCAGTTCGACGAATGAATTTGTCATCTAATGAGAGGGCTGGTTTATGCTGATTGATAATCCAAATGGTGTGCATGTGAACACTTATTCTGATCATCTTATTATGATTATGGAAATGTAGCATTTTCCTGCATATAATTAATCATTTCTGATTAGATTTAGCTGGTTCCTATGACTGCTCAAAGGAAGGAACAAAATCCCACTAACTTCAGACTTTTTTTAAGGCTTTTGCATGGAACTTCCCTTTTGTGGCCCTAATTAGCATCTCTTACACAAACCCCCACCAGACTTCCTGACGTCTTGATGTTAATAGATAAGGATTGCCACAGTCCTAAAACCCCCACAAGTTCTGTGCTTCCAACCCATAAGCACAAGACTGTTGGTTCCTTTTCAAAGGGGGGTCATAAACACCTTTAACCAGACTCTTCAATGACTGAAACAAAGGACCTACATTCTTCATTAAATGTGAAAAAAAGAAGGAACCAGATTGAATGTTTTTATACAACTGTCTGTTTTTATCTATCTTAATGAAAGAAGTGTGATTTACCATTTCTTTTACAGAAGAACAAAACCCATTGAAGCTGTGTGGTTTTTTTGATGAAGTGTTTTCCTAAAGAAGAAYATGCTTCTTTTATTTCATAATGTTAAACAGTGTGTGTTTTATTRCATTATTTAACCCTTAGAAACCTTAGGCCTTGAATTTTTAACTAAATGTGACATTCTTATTTTACTGAGGTAAACAATGTCTCACCCTTTAATTAGATGCAAGATAATTAAACTAAAACACTCCCTTTTTCTTTGTCCGGAAGTAGTTTTCCCTCCAAAATAGATTTGATTTGTTAAAAACCTTTCCTGTATAAGGTGTAATATTTTCATTGGCCAAATTAAAACCTTGACTCCGCCCATAACAGAGGTTTTAAAAGTTAGTGCNATATTATTTGTTACAATAATATATTCCTGTTGATCCAACCTAACTCAAGATCTCTGTGTCCAGAACTGCTGATCCCGGTCTCCAGTCCTCGTCCTTCAGTTGCACATTTTTACAATAAACCTGTTAAAACTGTGTTGGTGTTCGGTTATCATTCAGAGCTCAAAAAGCTAATCTTAACAAGTGCAGCTCCCAAGACCGACCGTTTTTTTTTTTGGTCTTTTGATGAGAGAGGAGAGAAGGTCTTTTCAACATCGGAGGCCAGAAACAGCTTTCCAGGAGCTCGGCAGAGGCCTTCCTGCCAGCCCTCCTCATGGCTGGTGGGATGGGGTCATTCTACATCTCCCGCTGATTGACCGAATAGCTATCGTTTCATATCGGCTCAATATCTGAGTTTGATTTTATAGAAGTAAAATAAGCTAATGGTAATTCATGCGTTGTTTTAGTTAATTTTTCTCTACAAAGTGGAAATCAAATTAAGAAGTCTTGCAGCCACCTGAAAGGACCGGACCCTGCTGTCGTCAGCTCATTACCCACCTTTCTGACTGAAGGACCAGCAGCTGAACAGATATCCTGAGTATCTGACCGGCCACCACACTGAAGCAGTTTTTGGGGAACGTCACCTAAAGATCCTTCGGTTAGCCGACGCCTCCTCCAGGTACCACCATCAGCAGAACAAAAGGGTAAAAGTGAACATTTGTCCTGGTGATTTTTATCTTTGTATGAGATTTAGTAAACTAAACGATTTTTCTCCCTAATTAACTAGGACGCCCTTAGTAAAATCCTCAGCTAAAAGCAAAACTCACCTCTCAGTGTTTGTTATACGTTTGTTTGTTTTTTTTATTGTTTTTTTGTTTGTTTATTCACTCGTGATTGCAAACCCTTTCAGTTTTTATCTGGTTCAACATGTCACCACTCATTCATTACTCGCCATAGTTGTAAATACATTTAATCTGTAAATAAATTGCTCGTGGAGAACGTGCCAACATAAGCTAATCTCATTTTTGTGTCTTGATAAAATATATTATTGGTTCTGATAAGACAAGACCTCATAAAATCATTTTTGGGTACATTTATTCTGAGACTGATTYCAATTAAGTTACAGTTTTTCYTCTCTTTCCTGGGTCAATCCTGGACCAAATTAAAGAGCGTGGTGCCTCAWGGTAAGCTAATTTGTGAGTTCACAAATTATCTATTTTAGAATATACCCAAAACCCCTACAGAAAACAGACCTGACTGCATGCTCTTTGTCAATCTTACGTATTTCTGCCTGGCTAGATACTAATATGTCAAGGAAGCAAAATTTGTTGTTCAGTGATACAACATTTCTATTAGAAACTTTGAACGAGCTCAGAATTATTGAACACCTTGATGGTTGAAGTGTAGGAACACAGCGTGCAATAACATCTCCACCATTGTTAAAACCTGACGCTAATTATAGGATTATAAAAATTAGTTTGAAATGTTAAAAGTTAAACAAATACAGAAGTAATAATTTTGTACTTTTTAGAGCCACCATATAGGCAGCACAAACTTGAAATCATTTTCTTCTGTTTGACCTTAACATTGTCTCAGATTATTTTGAAGGTAGTCTGGCCCGCAGCTTTTCCTCAGCTCTTTTGAGTTTTTCTGGCATTCATTTACGGATTAAAATGCTGCCAAAGCATTTTTACAGGTTTAGGTCTGAACACTGAGCAGAAAGTGTTCAGAGATTATTCAGAGGCAATTGGCAAGGTCAGGTGCCACATTAAATATTTTATGTAATGTATCCTATGCTTAAAAATCAAAAAGAAAAAATAAGTAGGTCCTCTGGATGGGTTCTTCTTTAGTGAAACGTTTCATCTCTCCTCCAAGAGACTTCTTCAGTCTGATGAGTTTCAGGTGAACTCAGAGCTCTGAGCTAATCAAGCCTATTGTTAGTCGATGGCCCTCTTTTGCATGTGACTAACCTGTTTGTCCATGTGGAGGCAGTGCTTATGAGGAGTTCACCTGAAACTCATCAGACAGAAGTCTCTTGGAGGAGAGACGGAACGTTTCATTAGAGAAGAACCCATCCAGAGGACCTACTTATTTTTTTCTTTTTGATTTTTTTCTACCTGGTTCACTGAGATGCATCAGGATATCCCATGCTTATAGATTTGTGTCATACACAAAAATTGTTTTCAATGTTACAAACAGAAGCCTTGAGATACTTTGTTCCTTTCACAAGAATCTTAGGTTACCACATTATGAACCACATTTACATATTTATTGTTTTATTATGCAGAATTAGACAATTGTTAAGCTTTATTATCATGTTCACACAACAAACTTGCTCTTTAACAATGGTTTCRGAGAGTGTTGACATTTATCTACTCATATTCACAATGAGTCCCACAGTGAAGAGTTGGCCGACTCTACTGCCCTAATTGTGTCRTCAGTTGGACTGAAGGTCACTTTCAGGACTGATCCCCTGCAGGAAAATCTAGATACTTTTGAGACTGAAGTTTAATGAGACAGAAGTGAGCAGGAGAAGCTGAATCAAATAGTCACTCATACGCTGATTACGTAAACATACCTGCTGAAGAGTGTTGAGCAGGTCTATTTCTGATTCCAAGGCACAGCTGAGCTGTGAATGAGCAGTTAGACTTTTAAATAAACATTAAAGCAACTGWAAATAACAATATTTGTTTTCTTTGAAATTATAAAATGACCACAGCGTGTGATCAGAAAACAATGGAACAGAGACACCGGCTTCTTCATCAAGAATATAAAAGCTGTTTAATAATCCGACATTTCATCATAGCCAATGTCTGTTTTATAACTCTTATTTCCATTTTTACACTCTGGGATGCCAGGTATGACACGGGCAAATGCCTCTGGGAGCAAACACAGCGAGGTGCGATTATAGAAACACTTAGAAGAAATGAACCAAAGTTTATTGGAGCTGCATCTAAAAATCCTTAACATCCATGAAAACAGCTSCGTGACTGGAGGTGGGTTAAAAATACGGGTCAATCCTGGAGACCCAGAGAGAAGATGGGAGGTCTGCGATCTTTGAAATGAGCCGAGTCACATGTCAGATCCAGTTTATTGCTTTCTGAGAATTTAATGCGAAACCAAAAGCATCCAAATATTGTGCAAATGGAAAGGTTTAAGGCAGAGGCTTTGTTCTTATTCTGTGAGAACAAAATGAGACGAGCTGTGAGACAAGTTYTTAAATCAACATGCCTAAAATGTGAACATTTGGAAGGACTCGTGTTTGTGAGCCAAGGTAGTTTTATTTTGAAAAACCATGAGTGAAATTAACATCAAAATAGCCTCTTATTTTCTTGCATTGGTTTTAGTTCAGCAGTAAACAAACTCCCTGAAATACATTCA